TCGGTTCCCTCCTTCTTCCACAAATCCCTCCACTCATATCCGAAGAGTGTTTCTCCGGCCGTCGGCCGACTCTCGAGCCCATACGCCGCGTTCGGGAACTCGCGATTTACAAACCCGCCAAAAAAAAAACCCGGACGTAACAATAACACATATCTAAATTCTGAGATTCATCTGAGATATGTGAATACAATCATAAAAGGAAACGTAACTGAAATAGAAGAGACAACTAATGAGGAAACCGAAATTGAAATGGAAGAGGATGAAGATCTCACCAGTTGGATACATTGGACTGAGTCAATAATAGAAGATGCGAAGACTATTGCTTCTAAATCACAATACGGAGACAACGTAAATGCGACATTCTACATGCCAGAAATTATAAAAAGTTTCAAAATTCTCTTGAGGCATATACCTTTGTGGACAGGTACAATGCAACCTATTTTTACAAATGACGAGAATACTGCCACTTTGTCCTCTGTAGAAGCCGAATTTGCCAATCTCAAACGCAGAGTATTCGATGGTCAAGTGCCTATGAGAGTTGACAAATTTGTTTTGCGTCATGTGGAATATCTATATGGTATAAATTAACATTAGCTTCCAATAAAATAAATCATTTACATTCTGAAGAAGATACTAATTCAGTCGTCACACAAATTAATGAAACAATAAATACTTCAATCAATTTAGTTGCTTTGCCAATCAATCAAGAACTGGATAAAAATGACGAAATAGTAACCAATTATGATTCCTGGAATAAAACTGAAAACTGAAAAGGTCTTCATAATGTTAAAAATTGTGACAATAAAAATACTTCTAGTAATCCCAAGAAATCAAAGAAACTTACTTATCTCGATGATTGTCCAGAATGGGATCACTTAAATGATGCAGTTGGTATACCATTAATTAAAAACAGTAGCATATGTACTTCTGTATGCATTGACAAAACCTACTTTGTAATTTGTGAAACATGCACATTCGACTCCATTTTACAAGTGGTCTTGCATACATTTGCCTCGAATAGTGCATATAAAACAGTAGTAACAACGGTAACAAGTAATCCTACATTAAGTTTAGCATAGGATATAATACAAAGTGGCAAACTTTGCGACATTACATATTGCGAGGACAAATACTGTGTTCTACGCCAATTTTTCAAGTAACATCGTACACTCAACAAATGTCTACGTTATAAATGCAAACTGTAACGCTGCGCATTTAGCAGAACATTTATTTGAAACGACTCCAAGTTGCACAAGAACGAAGACCTGCAAAGAATGTAAGCATTAAGTATCCGTAAGTTACCGTTAGTAAGTATCGATGTAAATGAAATATTACATAATGGTTTAAATGGCATACAACAGTCGATACAAAAAGCAGCGTTTACGAATGGAAAATGCTATACATGTAAATCTGACGCCATTGAAAACATCGAATACGGACCTCACCTTCTAATCGACACGAGTATCCTCACAGATGATACATATCTCCACGAAATTAACGTTGAGAAAAAGGTATTCCATTTAGGCGATATACAGAATATTGTAAACGTCGAAAATCAAGATTATCGTCTTGCAGGTATAGCATCATATCGAGGATACGAAAACAGCGGTCACTACGTAGCTTACGTTAACAATTTTATTAATTGGTATAAATATGATTTGCAAAATAAGCGATACATAGTAAGTACTGATGAAATTGTTACGCCACATGTGATTATGTTTACAAGGATATAAATATATTCATTAAATTTTATATATGTATATTATATATTTAGTAAAACAATAAATTTTTCCTCTTTATTTCCTTATATCCTTTTTAAAGAAAGAAAAAGACTGTCGCGAAATGTTTTCACTGAAATAATGTTTAGAAATTCTAAACATTCTTAAGAATAGATGAAGATAGAGATAAATACGATTTATGTGGATGTAGAAGTCTAATAAGATTTCTAGGTGAATTAAATCTACGTTTTAATAGACTGTGCGCTAATAACTGTCAAATTTAAAACACTATTATAATACAAATAATTCCTAACAAATTAAATTGTCAATAATGACAAAAAAGCTACCATTTTAGAACTATTCACATCACATTTGCACATGACTAATCACATTTGTTGTTCAGTAGAATATTAAGACGGTCTTAAAATAAAAATGGACTATGAATATCGCCCTAGTAGACATTAAAACATACCTATCTAATTCCACTACAGTGTAAATTCGATTTGATAATAAATTTTAACATCTTTAAAAACTTACGTGGTATTATTCTTATTATTTACTTAATTCTAATGAAATGTATCATTTATTCATTTGTATAAAACATTTAATATCAACAGTCGGCACCAAGTTAAATTCTATATTCTTCCAAATTAAAAAATAAAACACAAATGATACCATCTTTAAAAATTTATGTAGTACTATTGAATAGTACTTCTTATTAAATTCTACTAAATTATAAAATAAAATCAATATGGAACACTATTTTTATCTTCACATACAATGAAACCTAAGTATATGGCTTTGTATTCTTATTGACAAATCTTCCTATTCCAATCCAAGTGTGGTTTTATCTTTAAATCATATCACAATTATATCACAATTAATTAAAACACAATTCATTCAAACATATTTATTCCTTCAACCAAAGTTGTAGTAATTAGTTATTCAATCTTCCTTCAAAACATTACTATATCGAAAAATTGCATTACTATATTCTTTTCAAATTTGTATCTTTCTAATTCGATTGGATGCTTCTAGTGCTAACTGGTGTAAACTGAAGTCATTGTACACCATTGTTACTTGTGTACGATGGCTTTAATGTGCACCACTGGGCATAGAATGCGTCTTAATCAATATACATATATACTATAGCAAATCCATACACAAAAATTTTTTTTCTAATTTCGAGCAGTTTACTAAAAGTTCTGAGCAACTCTACAAGAGTTCTAACGATTGTCTTCAATAATCGAGTCGCAGAAATCAAAATTGACAGCAGGGTTGCCAGATGTGGCGATTTATCGCCAAATTGGCGTTTTTCGGCTTGGCTAAGCGACTTCAATGTAAATTTGGCGAGTGGCGATTTTCTTTGGCGGTAACCTTTTACATTTTGGCGATGTTTGGCTTTTTGTACAAAAAATTTTACTTTATAAAAATTCATCATTGTTTCAACGTGATTTATCCTTTGTCCTCTGCGCCAAGCAAACGGCCAATCGAAATTGAACAGGACCTTCTAGGGACTTTTTTGAAATTCCGATCGTCATATACTGTCATGGGGAAGTACTAAAAAATGTACTCTGTAATCAGAGAGTCGCCTCTGCAGCTTGTGTCGCTGTCATGGTACGTTTCCGCCTAGCGCGTCACGCGTCGCGTCGTGAAAGAGAGAAGTTTATATTATAAATACACATCCCTTCTCTTTCTCTCCTTCGACGACGCGACGCGTGACGCGCTCAGTGGAAACTCAGCATCACTCTAACCTTTTCTGAATCCCGAGCCAGAGTACGATTCGTATCACGTAGTGAGTAAGGTGAGTTCTGAATTGGCGATAATTACAGACTCTCTAGAAAGTACTCTTAAGACTGCGCAGAATAAAAGGAACAAGGAACAAAGTATAAGAATTTCAACCTATCAGAAATCATGTACTGTAATACACAGTTTCTGATAGATTGAAATCCTTAGGACTAATTTCACCAACGTCGGTTAGACTAACCAACGGTTAATTCCAATGGAATTATTCAATCGCATTTGTCTTTGACCAGAATGAACCAATCACGGTTGACACTTTAACCGTCGGTTAAATAGTTTAACCGACATTGGTGAAATTGGCCCTATTCCTCTGTTCTCTATTTTTTTTATTCTGCGTAGCCCGCTAATATTATGTTTTACTCTACTTGCAATACTTGCACACAATTCAGAATTTAATCTGTGTACCAGTCGGTAAAAAGAACAGGCCTATTCAGATCTTTCGAAAAAGAAAAAAAATAAAACTTGATATCGATAGAAGCTCTGAAAAGTGAAAACTGTTGAAAATAGAACGCAGACATTAAGTGGATCGTGTAAAACGAATGTTTTGATATCGAAAATCAGGTAATTTTCTATCATCTTTATTCTAATTTTTATCGTATTCTTGTTTTAAAAATTTTTATCTTACTTAGAAATATACATATTTATATATCCCATATAAACATTCTGAAAGAACCTTTCTGAAAAGGTTATATAATCTTCGTAAAACTTAGACTGCATTCGGAAACATCATCACCCTTCGTACCTTTGTGTACCATTTCATCTTTGTTGTTCGTCCATTAAACAAGGATGAGATGATGTACGGAGGCATTCGAGTGATGTTCCCGAACTCAGCCCTAAGTTTTAAGAAATTTACAAACTTATTTTCAACTATTATTTTGCAATGAAATCTGTATGTCTCTATCTTATAATCAGTACAAATTCATGTATACATTGAGTCTGCATATGCACATGCGTAAGTATGTTTACATTCTGTCTATTTGCAGGATTATGAACCGTAGTAGCAACTCTTCAAGTAGCAATAGTCCAAATGATGATAAAAAATTATCCAATCAGCAGACCAGTAGTCTGCATAAGAGACGAAAAATAAATAAAAAACAGCAAACAAAAAATCAAAGAAAATATAAAAAAGAATGGGAAAAAGAATCTTGGGCAGAAGATAATATAAAAAGCAAGTATTGCATGCTATTTGTAAATAAAGAGGGGTGTGTATCGATTAGATAATCATTTATAGCGCTTATACAACAGAAAATCCTTAACCCGAATCCTCGTACAAACAACAGCGATTTGACACCGAGCGTTAATTGATGAAAAGCAGATTGTAGGGGTAAAATTTATCCCTATCACCTGTTTTTCACTAATTAAGGTACCTTTTCATGCTGACGCTTGACGCTCATTCTCAGCGTTAAAACAGATCACATGATAAGAATTGACAAATAGCAAGTGTCAATTTTAATCACGTGACCTATTTTGACGCTAAAAATGAGCGTCAAGCGTCAGCATGAAATGGTACCTTTAGCGTTCGATGTCAGAGCGCTGTTGTCCGTATGAGGATCCAGGCTTAAGCATAGGATTCTTCCAATAAAGATACGTCACTAGTAGAATTGTATAGTCAAATGATTGTGTAATTTTGACTAACATGATAATGACCTCCATTACACGACACGCTTTACGCCGAAATTATAACATCGATGTTATAACTTCGGCGTAAATAGAACCGTGTAAACGTAATAAATGAGTATGGCACAATTTGAAAAAGAATTCGTAGAATAATCATTCCTTGATATTTATATTTTATGTTATGTGTATATTTTCATTATTTATTACGGTAATAAGATGATAATAATTATTTTTTATTTAAAAAATTCAAGGATGGTTGAGTCAAGTTCCTGACAGCGTTCCAACAAATTATTTGAAAAATGCATATTGCAAAGTATGCAAAAAGACTCTACGTGCGCATGCAACAGACTTACAGAAGCACAGCCAGACTACACATCACCAAGATTACATGCAAGATTTGAAGAAGCAATCGAAGCTTACGTCCATGTGCAACATAAACCCAAAACAAGAAGAACAGATAAGAGATTTAAAACTTGCCGTTAATAATGCATGTCATTCAAGCTTAAGAAGCATCGATCATATCTGTGAAATATTAAATAATTTTAATATTAAAGATTTTAAACTAGAATTACATCGTACGAAATGTAGCAACTTAATAAAACATGTCATTGCTCCAAATATGTTAAAAGATCTCATAACAGATGTTGGGGACATGCAATATTCATTAATTGTCGATGAATCTACTGATATTACACTATTCAAATATTTGTGCCTATGTATAAAATATTTTAGCAGCAATGAAAATAAGATAATGACAAATTATTTAGGTATTATACAAATTGACAAAGCTGATGCTCTAACTTTATATCAGGCTGTGATGGATTTTTGTAAGAATATTAATTTAAATTTAAAAAATCTTATAGGATTAGGAACAGACGGTGGCTCAAACTTGTGCGGACGTAATCGTTCATTATATACGTTTTTAAAATCGAATAGCTCCAAACTGCAATTAGTTAAGTGCATCCTGCCATGCTCTCAATAATGCTGTATCAAAAGCATCTGAGGAATTTCCCGCTAGCATTGACTATTTGTGTACTGAAATATACAACTGGTTTAAAATAAGTGCAGTAAGGCGATCAACTTACAAAGCTACTTGGGATACTATTAACGAAGGGAGTGAAAAACAATTTCATAATTTCGTTCAATTGTCATCAACGAGATGGCTCGTGCGATATAATGCTGTAAAAATAATTTTAGAACACTGGCTCGAATTAAAAACGCATTTCAGTTTTGTCGTAACAAAAGAAAAGTGTCAACATGCAAGAAATTTAAATCTAATGTTAAATGATGACAGTAATTACTTGTATCTAAAAATTATTAAACCTATTTTACACGAAGTCAATCTCGTAAATTTGTCATTTCAAAGTGAAAATGTAGAATTAGGACAAGCTTATTATGACTTGAAGGATTTAATTACTTTGATAGCTCGAAAAATACTTAAACCATTATTTATAACAGAAAATTTCCAAGAAATTTGTAAAGCTTTGGACAATGAATTAGCGTATTTGTCTGTAGAAGAAGCAGATTATGGCATAGAATACGAAATAACAGCAAAACGTGTAAAATGTTCGGATAAAGAAAAATATGAAATTAAATTTCGTGCATATAATTTTTTTAAAAAGCTGTGTTTACAACTTGTGGATAGACTGCCGCAAAACATAAAACATTTCCAACAATTGCAAATGTTGTCACCTAAAATTTGTTTAAATCAAATTAGACCTAAATTTCAAGAATTACCTTTTCTTAACGAGTTTATTAACGAAAATGATCTTGGCATTTTGGAAATGCAATGGAATAAATTATTAAACATTAACTGGGTTGAAATTATTGGTGACAATATTATCAATGATTGTTATACGTTTTGGCCTAAAGTCTACAAATTCAAAAATGCAGGAGGTAATTTTGTCTTTAAAGAATTAGCTACATATGTACTTACTTTACTATCATTACCGACAAGCAATGCCGTCGTAGAACGCGTTTTTTCTATAATGAACGCCGTTAAGACTAAAACTCGCAATAGAATACTGATCAAAATACTTGATAGCATAATACGTATACGAATTAATCTTTATGCACATGGCATTTGCTGTAACAATTTTGTTGTAACTAAATCAATGTTAGCTGATTTTAATTCAAAAACAATATATCCAAATACACCCAAGACTGCTAATGACATTAATGTGGAAGAAGTGGAAATAGAAATATCTAACATGTTGCAGGAATTTGATTTGCCTTGCATAAGTTTGTATGAATAATATTTAATTCGCTTATGATACAATAATGATTGTATTCTGTTATTCACTGCGAGTACTGAAAATCTATAGTTCACGTTACGCATACTGTAGATTTTTACTACTCGCAGTGAATATAGCTAATATGTACACATAAGCGGCTATCCTATTGAAACCAAAGACATCTGTTTAATTTTATTATTACAATATATGATATTACAATATATGGTATGTTTATGCGCAAATTATATTTTAAAAATAGAAGGAATATACATTCTTTATTTTTAAATTATATTTTATAAGGTGTTCTCTGCAATTTTCTGTTTCATGTTCCCTATTCCTTTTATTGTACGCAGCCCGTTATATAATATATTTTCTCATTATAAAATTATGAAAAAATTTACATGATCGCTATTCTGGGGTGCGTTCCAAAACTCGACTCTGTCAACTCTGAGTATCTTTCATCTTTGTTGTTCGTCGAATGTTGAACAAAGATAAAAGATACTCGGAGTTGACAGAGTCGAATTTCGGAACGCAACCTTGGATATTACTTTATTGGTGGGTTTTTTAAAAATTAAAATCATAAGTTGGTTATACCTATTAAAATTGATGTTCACGATTTTATATAAAAATTTAATATTTTTCGACAGTACATATATAACTATTGCAAAATAAAAGTACAATATAACTTAATTAAATTATAATATAACTTCATATCTCACGTAAAATAAATCTCTTACAGAAAATATATTATATAACGCGCGTACACATTTTTTTTGTCTACTGCTCCGCAGGTGGCGATATTATGGCGAAAATTTATTAACAAAAATGGTCATTTTTGGCTATAAAAAGCTTCATAGGTGGCGATATCATGGCGAAAATTCACTAAAAAAATTGCGATTTTTGGCTATAAAAAGCATTATAAGTGGCGATATTATGGCGAAAATCACTAACAAAAAATGGTGATGTTTGGCTATGAAAAGCTTCATAGGTGGCGATAATAGTCCAGAGTCATCTGGCAACCCTGATTGACAGAGTTATCGTTATTCTTAGTGTTAAAAATCGAGTACTGACAGTGAGACGTGAAAATTTTTTTGTGGATTTCCTGCAGTTTGATAAGGGTTCTGTTACAGCTCTACAAGAGTTCTAACGATTGTCTTCAATAACCGAGTCGCAGAAATCAAAATTGGCAAAGTTATCGTTATTTTTAATGTTAAAAATCGAGTACTGAGACGTGAAAATTTTTTGTGGATTTCCTGCAGGTTGATAAGGGTTCTGGGTAATTCTACAAGAGTTCTAACGATTGTTTTCAATAATCGAGTCACAGAAATAAAAATTGACAGAGTTATCGTTATTCTTAATGTTAAAAATCGAGTACTTACACGTGAAAATTTTTATGTGGATTTCCTGTAGTTTGATAAGAGTTGTGGATAGCTCTACAAGAGTTCTAACGATTGTCTTGAGTAATCGAGTTGCAGAAATAAAAATTGACAGAGTTATGGCCATTCTTCGTTTTCGATAGCAAAATTTTCTTGAGTACTGAGATGTGAAAATTTTTTGTTGATTTCCTGCAGTTTGATAAGAGTTCTGGATAGCTCTACAAGAGTTCTAACGATTGTCTTCAATATTCGAGTCGCAGAAATCAAAATTGACAGACTTATCGTTATTCTTAGTGTTAAAAATCGATTTTTTTTTAAATTTTTATTAAAAAAAATTTTTTTAGCATTTTCTGTGGAGTTCTGTGTAGCTCTACAAGAGTTCTATCAAATAGTATAATAACTTTTTTTGCTCTGACTTGAAATAAATAAGTTATGACGAATTTTCGCGAAAACGTGAAGTTAGCACCCCAAAATTTCAAATCATGTTTTTTTGCATTTAATCGTCAGAACTCTTTTCGAAACCTATCAGGAACTCTACAACTCTTTGAGGAAGAGCCAGAACTCTAGTTATTACATCAAAATTTTGACAATGGGGTGCCAGCTTCACAGAGGTTAAACACCTAATAATGCTAAGCAATTTATTTCTAAAATTGCAATTTAATAATTTACCATATGTAACATACAAAAAAGTAATTCGTTAGTTTCTCTTAAAAATGTGATAGCAAACGAGTATATAAATTATATCACATTAGAAAGTGTTTGTTTTGGAAATGTAATAATTAAAAAAGGCTCGATTGTTTTAGTAAGTATTGACAACGACGAGTATCCTTTATTTGCAGAAATTTTAAACATTTTCAAAAAAAAGAGGCAAACATAGTTTCATTATCGCTATCAGACTTCGTTGCTACCGTAAAATATCTGTTTGCAACGTACTTTAATGATCACTATCAAGCTTACAATATACAATATACATGTATATGTTTCAGACAACATAATATTTCTTTCAATTCTTTAGTATATTTCAAAATATATACACTGATTCAAAAAGCAGATGATAACTGTTATATTAGTTTGTGAATAATATATTCTTTTTATTATCCGACTGTGTTCTAACAAAAATAAAGCATAATGTATAAATAGAATGTAAATGGAGAGTTACAAAATGGATTCAATGCATCTTATTATATGCAATAATAATTAAAACTTATATTAAATTGTAATTTTTTTTGTGCAATATTTCTTTATGCTAATCTTTGTCTTTTCAAGATAATTTTGTAATTTTGTGTTACAATGCGTTATGTAATTTTAATGTAAGCAAACGTTCTAAGGAACATAAATTAAACAATGAAATGTAAAAAAGCGTTAAAGACGTCAAAACGCTTCGTAAACGCTTTAGGTTTCTTTTACGTTCCATTATTCCAATCTATGTCTTAAAACGTTTACTCATACATTTCTGTAACTCTCACTTTACATTTAAATTGCGCTCTTTTTTTGCTATTATGCTGTTTTTGCCACGGTATGTGTATACATATGTATATATACAAATTACAAAGTTATACGTTTAAAATTAAAACAACAAACAATATAGAGCATATAACCACACGCAAGTTGGTAATAACGAATATGTCTTATAATTACAAAATTTCTTTTGTTACATCTTCAAATCGTTACATGTTAGCCAAACGTTTTGGCCCTTAATATGGCCACCATCAGTGGTGTTACAAATACATAATAATTCTCAAATATATGATAAAAACTACACGGAGAGAATTTTCTGTTAGAATTTAGCCTGAAAATCATGATAATTGTGGGATAATATGGTATTTCGAAGAATTAAATGTGAGTTTCTTTGATTTATTAATATGTAAATTATAAGATATATAATATATTTTATTAATTTTATTAAAGAGTATAGTAAAATTTCAATAATTTTGAAATATGTTACGCAGTTTATGATTCTTTATTATTTTAAAAAGAATAGATGCCAAGTAGTTATAAATATATAAAATAGCTTATACAATTTTTACCATACAGCATGATATTTTTAATCTGATTTAGTTGCTTATAATAATTTTTACCATGTAACATGGTAAATTTCGATATTTGTCGGTTATTTTCGTCGTCGAGTGTGTCTCTAGCTACGCTAGAACTTGTACGGACAGGAAACAAAGAGAAGTCGGCAAGTCGTCAGTCGTCCGCGTCCCGCTACCATTCGTGACACGAGAGTGATTCGAAGTGCATAGCAGTGTATATTTGTATAATATTTGTGAGTGCATTACAATTATACAAAAGTGCATACGTTTAGAAGAGACAATCATTCATCATATCCAGTTATATCCGAGTTTCTTTCTGTAAGTAAATAGTTTGATTATATGATTATGTTATATGACGTAATTTATGTGTACTCACACAATTTTCATGCAACAACATTATGGCCGCGTTCGTTATCAAGATGATCCTACATGGTCGATAATATAATCTTCAGTATTAATAAATACTGGTAATATTATTGATTTTGTGGTTAATATCGATGGATTGACGTAAAATGCTGAGACAATGTCTGAATTTTGGTTTTCGAGTATCAGTATCGTTTTTATTAGAATTCATGTCACAGTATGTCACAATGCAATAGATAATATATGTATATATATACTGATACATAATATTGATCGTGTAAGGTCGTAAAAATACTGAAAATATTGCTGCATACTATCAATAATATTGTCTAGTTCACACTGGATGCGATGGGCGATGGACGAGCGATATTCAATAAAAACTCTGCTTTTTCTCACAAGACGATGTAAAGCAGAGTTTTCATTTATTATTGCTCGTCGCGCATCGCCCATCGTGTCTAGTGTGAACTAGGCATTACTGATTCAATATTACTGATCAGTATTATTGACTGTGTAGGTCATCTTCACACTTACAATGTTTGCAAACATCGTTTGTCCTTATTTAACATTTGACAAGGATGGAATAATTTCACGATCATTGTGTGAGATAGAACGCAGCCTACTTCTATTAACTTCTTACAAAATATATATAATACAATTATTTGAATGAATTGCACTATACTGTGTGAATCAAATTTATATGATATTTTTTTAGAATGGAAGTGATTTATATTTTGTGTTTCTTTTATATCTTTTTCACAGCTATTATGGATAATAATCAGGAAAAAGTAAGATTTAAATATTATTTATGTCTGTCATTCTATGAATTGATATTAAAATTCAATATTAATAAAACAAATTCACTTTTTATTTAATATATTAAAATTACATTATATATGTAACATAAACTTAAAAGCGAGGTAATTGCAATTAATTTATTTAAACATTTTCTTTCAAATTTCTCAGTATAATTTTTTTTTAGAATATTGTTATTCATTTTTACTAAGAAAATTATATTACTATCTAAAATAATAAGAAAAATATTATATTAATTGCAGGATCAAAAACGATTTTTTGATGATCAAACAGAAAATGTTAGTACTTTATTCATTTTTATTTATGTATCTGTATTATCATTTATATAATTTTCATCTGTATTATCGATATATAATTAAGTATAATATTTTAGCCCATTTATAAATTACTATCAAGTACTGCGGAAGGAAAATTGGTATTAAAAGCTTATCATGAT